ACCATCTCAAGAAAATATTGTAAATCCATTATTTTCGCAGCTTTTTGTCTTGCAGCCTTTTCTTCCATTCGACGTTTTCGTTTTGCGGCACGTTCCTCTTCATTCAGATCTCTAGAGTCTTCATCACTCTCTTCATCTGATTCCTCATCTCCACCTGCTCTTCGAGCTATCATGCCAATCTTCTTCCAATTTTCTCGGGCGTGAGAGGTTCGATTTTGTGTCGTTGCCATTGAACTCCCCATTCCTTCTGTATGTATCGACGGTTCTCCCTCAACATCAAAGCTCCTGCTACCTCGTTCTCTCTCCCCACTGTCTCTCGCTCTCGGTTTCGTCAAATTTCTATATCTAGCCTCCTTGACAGCTTCCACCCATCGAGTTCCAACATCCAATCTTTTCCCTTCCAGAATCCTCCGTTCCCTATGCCCTCTATAATTTCTCTGTATAAGTTCTGCGGCTTTCCTCCTTTCTTCTTCACTCAGATTAGGATTTTCACTCAATCGTCTCGCGATACCCTCGACCTCCTTTTCTTCTTGGACATGATTGATTTCTTGAATGACTTCGGGTGGTGGCATAACGAGAGAATTAATGTATTCTTGATGGGATTTCGAAGATGCTTTGCTAGAAATACTGAGACGGGATGGATGATGTGAATGTTGGGAATTCGATCGATCGTGAGATAGTTGAGGATTTGATCGGTTGTGATTTGTATTTATAGACGTTGGGTTTGTATTCGCCGATGCTGTCGTCGTCGTCGTTGTCGTCGCAGATCTTGAAGGGAAAGTAAATTCGCTATTTGGTGTATCCTCAAATTTTATTTTCGAATCGCATTTCCCATCACTTGTATTTCCATTTATTCCATTGATCCCATTCACTTCTTCGTACGGCTTATAATTCCCACCCTGCGCATGCACATTCACATTCGCAGTCGGTATATCTTCTCGCACGGAACCCAGACTCCGCCTCGATGTATTTTTATTTAAAGATACATCATAATCAGGGTACGAAGCCGCAACCAATGGAGGGGTCATTTTCATGACGGGAAATCTTGGCGAGCCGGGATTTAACAAGAGAGATTAAGGATAGTTAAATGGATAATTGTCTTCATCAATTCGAGGAATCTGAAGACTGACTTTTGTTAATTGAGGATATAATATTGTTCGATAGAAAAAAGTATCAATGAATGAATGAGAATGAGTCAAAATGAAGTCAAGGATAAGAATATACAAGACAAGACAATGGAAATTCTGGAATGTCTCAAATGACATTCCATTTGCAGAATCTCGGGAGTTGTTTTCCATCCGTACCTTGATTTAATGGCAATTCCAACATCGTAATGTTACTTTCTTCATATCTGCCTGCATCCGGAATCTCAGACCATCACCTAAGGATTCGTACCAACATTTGAACCAATACCAACATCAACTGTGTCTCGTTTACTTCGTTTGTGCATCTTGGACGTCTTGTTGGCGTAACAAGGTTTCTCTCACAATGACGTTGAAAAGTTCATTCGTTGCGTAACTTCTTGCTCAGCCTTACAAGTAATGGATCCCCGCTGCCCCGGTTAGAGTTGTGGCTCTCGAGTGGCTATATCATGGTAGCGTAATCTACATACCCACGTGATAACCTTACTTTTCTATTGATAGACCCGTGGTCAGTCTTTATGTGTGGCGTAGTGTGTATACGGTTAACGGCATCTGTTTGCATGGCATGTAAAAGCGAAACTGCACCACCATCTTACAACTATTTCACTTGACTTGTCAAATCTGTTGCCACGTATATCTGTTCTAGAGTATGCGAGAAGTCGATATATCAATTCGAATTGGATTGTCATTGCAGTTGGGTTAGCTCTATGGCCCAGGAAGCCGAGAATTGTTAGCCCTTTGTCAATATCGTCGGAATCGCTCATTAGACACAGTACAGTCAATATAAATCAATCTACCAAACCACAAGACAGTATAACCTTCCACCAACCGAATCCCGAAGTACCATTTCCAACATTTCGTTGGGACTTCAAGAACTTGGCCGCATGGGTTGAGGCCTGAAAGCCAAGTGGTTCCGACAAGGTTTCATTCTGTTGTCGGATCGAAAATGCCCATGTTATCTTGAATGTAGTGGTGGAAAATGCAGTGGGGTCTCGCTCTTCTGCTCAGAACCTTTGAAGATGCAATTTCGCATATAGTCTTCTGCTGCATGATTCCACGGAAAAGTATGCATAGGATGAGGCAAACGGCGGTGCACGCTGGAAAGACCGTCATCGAGTGCCCTGCAACATGATGCCTGAAACAATCAAAGTGTATCTCTCCCATAAACGCTTCAGTGGTATGCAAGGACCCGTGCCGAATGACTGCATATGGGAGAGTGGCCTTTTAAGATTACGGATGATGTGCGTGCGTGAGGACTTTAAAATATAGGTACATGGTGTATGTGAGTGGTTGTTGAACTGTTGGTATGTGCAGTTGAGATTTGAAAATGAAAGAAATTGGTTACAAGGAGCCTCCAGTTTCTTGTTCTAAGAAACTATAGTAACTTGAATTTAAAAGGAGGTTAGTGAAAACGAGATATGTTTGTCCGCTGTTGGTAGAAGACTAGAGCCCTATATCCGCACACGCATCCCTCATCAACTACGGCTCCCCTAGCCCAGCCCAAATTGGAACACTTCTTACTTTGGTCAATCACAAAGAAAGTTCATATTATGATTCGGTGTAGAGCTATTGTATATCTCATTCTATATGGATTTCCCATATCACGCCTTCACAATTACACAATTACACAATTATGCGAGAGAACACATCTTTTTCGTTGTAGTCTAAGTAACTGTTTAACCGGCGTCTTGGTTCAAAGTCACCATGAAAAATAACATCAAATGTTGCCCAAAAGAATTAAGGCTCGACACAATGATAAGCTCTAGTTTTGAACATGTTATTTTCGAAGGTCTCCTTATGTCTTTGATGTGGCTACATGCAGCTAACCGAAAGGACGAACAAACCTTCCTGCTGTCACGTTCGCACTACTGTTACCTAGAAATCCTAACTTCATTGACATCACTCATCATTGTTGAAATTCTCACCGTTATTCCCACTATAAAATTCTCCTTAGTTCTGCTCTCTGATATCACTTTGTTGACAAACCTAAGCCTGTCATCCTACTCTATTTTCGCCCTTTCGTATACCTATCACGGGATAAGTCGCATCTACACTCTTGCCTAGATATACAACAAACCTTCATATCATACTGAGAATCATTCAAGCTGATGTAGTCATTCATATCACAACCGATGCCGTGTTTCGAACTCTGGCCGCTATAACTTAACTTCATCACAAATGTTTGTCTCGTCTTCACCAGCCGAACTATACATACATATTTCACATCCAGATTTACATCTTTAGTATAATATATCAATAAGCAAAACAAAATCCCAGTATGAAGGAACTGAAGACTAACATTGAAATTTCACCATTCGAGAACGAGCAGACTTGGGAGTTTACTTGCTACTCTCGTAAATGATGATTCGTGAAATACTCCGGAAGACAGCTTTTTAGTCAGAAATTCAATAGTATTAGTTTCAGTAGCAATTAACGAGATCGATCATAGTACAAGAGTGAAATGCAAATCAAATTAAAGACACTTGAAACTCAACATCTGATACTCTAGATGTTACCTTTACGAATTTAATTCCTCTCATTTCCTCCTTGGCTACCTAAGTAGACGATACATCAAACTATCCTCCCAGCCCATAAATATCCCCCTAAAAACTTTTAAGAAGTATCAAACTTCCCCTTTACCGAGATCATTGCGCAAGATGATGAATTCATATCCTCCACACCTCCTCTCTACATTTCCATCTTCTTACTCAACAACATACCACCATTACACTCCTCGAGCTCGTATCAAGAGCTAGCGACTTCGGAAAATATATGCGAATATCCTTCCTTCTCCTACTCAGACATGATAGGTTCGAATCAAACGAGTTGGATCGAAATAAAACAGAATAAAAGTACGAGATAAGTGCATCCTGCGATAAAGAATCAGTAACAACAACGTCACCAGATTGAATGCTAAAAACCCGCGATTCTTCAAAACAACGAGGAGAAAAGTAGCATCAGCACAATAATCTATAATCTACAATCTACAATCTACATAAACACCAACACTCCTCTCAAAACCACGAAAAGTCCGCTCCGGAGTTCAGATTCCGCTCTGCCCCTTGTGAGAAAGGAAACCATCCTTTATTCTTACATCCTGACCTAAAACACTAGAAGAATTCTGATTCGCACCTTTTATTTCATTTAATAGTGTCTTACAAATATAACATGCAGAGGAATTTGTACAAGATTTGATATGGATGTATACTTCCCCAGCCTGCCCTCAAGGATTTAGTCACCTAGGTACTCCAATTTCCCCTCCTCGACACCCTAATATAGAATACCATTCACTCATTCATTCACCCATCATCCGCACCTATAAGGTTCCCAACGACAAATAAACCAAACAGACAAACCATCACTGCCCGAAAAGAATCTCCCTCAAAGTAAAAATATAACAATTAAATTCTTATTTACCAATCCCTTCCCCCATGAATATAAACAAAGTTACAACAATAACCAATCATAAACCCTCTCTCTGTCCCATCATGAAAGCCGCTGCAAAAAGGTATCATACCGCTTAGCGCATCGTCTAAATCATAAATAACAACAAGCGCGCTAAAAATATGTACAAATGTGCGAGGATGTCGGACTTTCGAGTTTGGCGGGACTTGGTGCCTCTTTTTCCTCGAGTGAGATTTCGTCACGGAGTACACGTGCCTTATCGTATAATCAAGACCCGTGAATTCGATTCGCTTCTTTTCCTCACAGCTCCCTCCGGGGTTTCAACGTCAAATCAGATTGTTTGTCCTCGGAATATCCTATCCCCTGCACATGCCGCTCCTGAATTAATCTTATTCCCTCAAAACTCAAAACCTTGACTTTGTCTTTAAATCTTAATTTCACTCCGTCATATCATTACCTCCCAAGATGTCCCCCATCCATCTCATGCACTGTTCTCGGCTGTTCCATCTCGCTCGGCTGCGGTGCATAATACCCCTTCTTATCCGCCATCCCGATTCCACCCGCCTCTCCCAGATTTCCCCGTGGATATCCCGTTCCAATTTCACTCGGACTATATTCTCCATGCCCAGCCACTCCGTGTTGGTTTTGCATATAAGCTCCTTCTGTAGGCTGATATCCTTGTGGATTCTGGTTTGGATTTTGATACTCTTGGCCGGGAAATCCTGCTTCATCCTTAGGAAGTTGATTAGCCTTTTGCTTTGAAGCGCGTCTTTTTCTCCATAAGAGCCACCCAAGACCCGCGATAGCAAGTATACCACAGGGAATAGCGATGCCGGCACCGATTGCGACAGCATGATTAGAAGAAGATGAGGTTGCGGTAGGTAGAGGGGCGGTGGATGTCTGGGAGACGGCTGACTCGGAGGTTGCTGCTGTGCTTGAACTAGATGTGGTGGTTGTTGATAACGATGAGGTAGTTGCGGAAGATGTAGCAGATGTAGAAGATGCAGAAGTTGTGGATGATGAAGATGATGAGGTGTAGTCGAGGGGAACTTGAGCGAGAAGTTTGGCTACGGGCGAGATGTTGAATATATCTGAGTCATTGTCGCAACAAGCGAAACTCCCTACCCCGTCGGCACCGGTATCACAACAACTATTTTGGGTCAGTATCGAACAATCTAAATTTGTTTTATTGGTATAACATACTATTCTGTTGTTGATGTTATAGCTCCATTACAAAATCTTATACCAGCAGTTGAACTTCTAGCATCTGAAAATTGGTTAGTATTCCCAGCCCACCAACGAAGTTTATGTAACTTACAACTAGTACATTGATTTAGACAGGCCGGATCTTTCCACGTAGGATCTGTACATCCAACTCTTAAATAATCTTGAACATTTCCATTTGCTTGCTGACAAACACCATTTGAAAAACATATAGCACCAGCTGCACAACATGAACTATGACCTGTGGTTGAATTATCACATCTATATCCTGCATTGGCATTATGTTGTCCATTTATAACATAACATGTTGTTGGTGTATCCGTCGTCGCAGCTGATGCTAATAATGGTAAATAAAATGAACAAAATAATAAAAATTGTTTTCTTATTAAAACTCTTGAGGCCATTATCTCTGTGAAGAATGTAGTGATATCCCAATATAATCGGAGGGAAGAATTCAAGAAGTTAATGATGGGGAAGTAAGGATGATATGAGCGTGGCACAGATCGAAATTGATCAAGACGTGGATATCTAGAACGATACAATGTGAAAAAATCTCGAATGATTTGATCTGATAAACCAGCTTCCGAATTAGCTACTCCCAGGAATGATTTAAAAATCAAATAGTTCTTACGCTATGAAAGAACGTAAAAGGATTGTAAGAACAAGAGAATGATAGAAGAGCACGAGAAAAAATTATCAACAACCAGGTCTCAAGGAATAGCTGAGTTTAGGAATAGCTGAAGGAGTCAACAAAGCTTACCTTCCCTTGAGTACAAACCAACCTAGGGAATGTACGTGAAGGATTTATATGGGTCTCATATACCTAGCCCTGTCAGATCTATTTTCCGTTTTCCCCAAGAGATACAACATTGGTAGGTTGAGCCCCCATAATCCCTTGGATGGACATTGAAATCAACATGGATCCCGAGAAAGATCCAAGCCAAATCTAGTCGCCGACTTGAAGAAAAGCATGGCGGTTAAAGGAGATTCTAGAAACTTATGAAACCGAGATCCCATATTTCGCAAAATACAATGGGAACGAAGTATTTTTATCTAACATGAGGATTCGATTGCGAGTTCTTTTTCTATAACGTTAAGCGCGCTCTACTTGAAATTCACAACTGATAAGAAAAGAGTATCACGAATATGAAACACGAAAGGGATCTTGCCTGAAAAGTTGTGGATCTGTGGCATAACTTTCCTTTCACATCTTTCGTCTTGACAACGAAATAATGGAGAAAAGAAGCGAAATTTGATGAAGGGGTGGATAAGATTTGAAGCAATCTCGAAAGCAGTCTGGCAATGAAGATCAGGATTGAATTAAGCTTGTATGTAGTATTGTAAGCGAATCCGATGAGAGAATGATGATTAATAAACTCTCCAATCATTGTGTATACCAAAATACGAATTTCCTAATCTGGTTGAGGTTGAGTTGGTAAATACTACCTGACCACGTTTTCACAATGGGAGTTAAAATCAACTACCAACATCCACCAACAAATGATGAGATCTTTCAAACGCGAATGCCTTTAGAATCATACCTTAACATGGATATGAACTCATAAACTCAGCATACTAAACCAACAACTATTCCTCCTCGGATTCATCTATATAACAATTCGCATGCCCTTTTTCTTCTTCTTGGAATAGCCGATTCTATTCATTCCACCCATCCCAATCATACAGTATAATTCATCATGCAAATATACTATCAATATCATATCCAATATACCTGAGATCCCATCTCCTCCATATTCCCAGCTTGCATCAATTGACCTTGTCCATTTTCCTCACCTCGTGTATACCACGCTGCAGAATGGATAGGCCGGGGCCGAATTTCAAACCTGCATGAAGATCTAGGGCATGAGACGAACGACCTCGAAAATAACCTCGAATGAGGCGATGATTCCTCGTGCTACTGTTACATCTCAAGTGGTGAGTATCCGAGTGGATGATGATTTTCTTTTTTCTCTCATTGTGTTTCTTGCTCTGATCCCATGTGTCAGAAATCGGGGATTGATACGTGAAAAGTTCATATATCAATGATCGAAACCGAACGAACAAAAATCATTCAGAATTGTATTTCTCTTTTTATAGAATATCGCGTGAGAGAAGTTACTATACGCTACCACCGATAACACCCCGCTGGAGTTTCTGGAATCAATAACATAATATAATGTTGAAGATAGATCTAAAAGAGGTCTCCCTCACAAATTTACACCAGGAAATCTAAGAAACTCAAGAAAATAATCTCCAGTGAGCTGCAGCATATTCACATGACACGAATGCGTAGCCTCCACAGCACACGATTGTAAGCTTACATTTTGTGTCTCCGTCTCCACCGCTTACCCTCAAAACCCCCGACCGTCTCTCCCTCTCCTCTTCATCTCCTTCAATTCTCCTTTATATACACGTGCATCTCACCAACGACAAACCTGATGCAATCGCACAGTTACATAGCTACAGAGTCACACAGTTACACCATCTCACACCTATCCAATAGCACAATATACATAATGAGAGAAGATATTAATACCATACCATATCATACCATCTCATCCAATATCATCCCATCCAATCCCATCCCATCCAATCCCATCCCATCTCATTTTATACAGTCAAGGCACATATATGCAAGTGTGAATACACACATCGCCGCCTTTATAAAAACCGTCCTAAAGGCACGAGGAACGTATATATTTTCAACGATAAATTCATAGGGTAGGTGGTAAGAAAACCGTCCTCATCGTTACCGTTTCCTTGCTTACTAGCTATAACTTTTATAGTCAACGGGGAACAATCACTACTACTACCTGCAATTTGATCTTGATCCATATCATGAAATCACAAGAAATAAAGATAACACAGGGTTTTCGATTCTTTCTAGCAAGAAAGAGCAAGACATTCCATGGGCCTCTAAGAACATGAGCTACTCTCAGCCATGTACAAATTCATCTACCCGGCAACTTCATGACCCCAGTCTCCCAATCCGAGCTGCGGGACATACTTGACTGTCCAGGAAAATCACACAATGCCCTCATGCAACGTTCTTGTCCAACCATTCTTCCCACTGATCAACAGTGAAGGAGCTGCTGATTGAGTTCTCTACAACCCCATCGAACTAAAATCAAATCAGTACATTTCATCCCACATCCTCTCTCCCCGTTCTTCAAACACAAAACTACAGCCTCTCTAAAAGCAACCAAAGAAAAAACTACTCACAACAACCGTGGGTGTAACATGAATCCCTACCAATCTATTCATCTTAACCAACACCTTAAGTTGATTCGTAACCCCATTTCCGGAGTTCATACTACCATCTGGACCTGGCTTATTATCAATCTTAAGCAGGTCATACATTTTCTCCTCGTCGATTCCTGCTTCTCCTCCAATCTTCGCGAGACGTTTGTATGTTGCATTACGTGTTTCATTAACGACATTTGTGTCGAAGAAATCATTTTGTTGCTTGAAAAGAGAGGCGGAGAAAGGATAGAACTTTTGGGGTGAGAGGGTTAGGACTAAATGGAACAAATTAGTCATGGGAGGGGGACTTGGAGAGAAGGTGAAAATATAAAGCTTACCAGCGACACCGGCTTCGTGAACTAAGGTACTACTTGGATGCCATGGTTGAATTTGTTGACGAAAGATAATTTGGACTTTTGATGCGTATTTTTGTTTGATTAGGGGAATTACAGAAGCGTAAACTGTGTTGAACATTTTGGCCGAGAACTATGGAGAGGTAGGGTGTTAGTTTGTAGTTCAAATTCGGGTGTGAGAGGAGTTTTGAAGCGAGAGAAGATTGGAGATAGAAGATAGAAGATATAGAGAGGGCAAGACAGATATTCAACAAAAAAATGATCCATGAGTAGAACTCCATCTCACAGAGATGAGCTACAGCACCCCTCCATTCAAACCACGTTCATCTCCCTAATTCGCAACCATAGCCAACATAACTGATTTACCACTGGGTAGACCGACTGCCCACGAGCCTGAAACCCCACAAAAGCCTCATAGAAGCTATCATACCGACAGACATATATAGAATGAATGGATGGTGCCAAGAAGAAATTGAGGTTTTGGGAAGATGAAAAAGACACGGGGTAGATGGTTGGAAGTATCAGCAAGACTCATCCCATCTCCGTTCGGTACAGCCCAACCCAATCTCAATGCCTTTGAAAATGATACATCATCTCACCCTCAATCCCAAACCCATCCACTACCGCTCATGGCTTTTCCTTTTCGCCTCTTTCTTTTCCCTCTTCCTCTTCCTCTCCTTCCCCTCCCCCCACTAACAAAACAAACCCCCAGCCCCAACCCAAACATAACCCCGAACTTCAAAGAAGATAAACCTACCGGACAAACATAATCCAAATACAACTCCAACGTATGCGATGCCTGAGCCGGAGCCTCCGACGCCGAAGCCAAGAATCTCTGACCTGCGAATTTAGGTGGGAGAGCCATGATTTTTTTGATTTTTTTTCTTTCTTTCTTTTGTGAGTCTCTTTCTCTTTCTTCTGCTGTCGACTGTGTTTACTAGTTGATATGTGTGCAGTGCGCACTGTGACTATAAACTCGAACTCTGAACTCTGAAATCTGAACGCTGAACTCAAAATGTAGGTAGGAGGGGTAATGAAGAGTAGGCAAATAGATACCTAGGTAGGTAGGTAGTTAAGCACCCAAGCCTCGCCGAGATGACGTGACCTGCGACGTGACGTTGCCATGGATTATGGATGCCATGGAATGTGGGGTAATTCATACTCCTCTTTCTTTCCTTTCCTTCCCTCACTTGCTTCCTTCTCTACCTAGGTAAGATAAGATAAGTACTAGACCAGTGAATCTATAATAAAGACCTACCTAGGTAGTACCTCCATACCTCCATACACATACACATATAAACTCTCACTACCTAGTCTAAAGTTTACAAAGTTCCAGAAACTCTACATTAGATATATGGGGATAACACCGAAAGGAGCATTAATCGCTGATATCACCAACTCGAGACTCTATCCCCTGCTCATCCTCGACGACTCCCATTATGGATTATTCTAGGAGTACGAACTAAATCCTTTATTGTTTACTGTATCACAGAAATCCTGAAATACAGAGAGGTATATTATCCTCGTCTACCCTTCATAGCAGAGATTCCCCTGTGTATGAGCCATCCCATCCTCCCCAAGTAAAACTGGGTATCAACGTCCTCCATTTCAAATTAAAAACAAAAACAAAAAACTAAAGGTGTATATATGTACTTAAAAGAAAAAATGTACAGCTCCAATGCCCCCCCCCCTCCACCCCGGCCGGCTCATATATGGTCTCCAATTCATATCGATAGCCATGAAGGCTGATTATATATATCCTAGTCAAGCCAACCGCCTGCTTCCCCTCCTCTCTCTCAATATAAGATAACAAAATATTGCTCCATCTCGTGCTTGTCAGTCGACTCCCATTCAAGGCACGACTTAAGAGAATAGGAATTCCTTTAGCACTGGCGAGCTCGTAAATTCGGGATTGAGTAATATACAACTATATGTACTCGTTGTTAGCCAGTCGAACTCACTTATCTCTTAAACTCTTCCCCATACACTCCCACCCTCCCCTCTTCTTCACACATTCTCCCCTCCAAGATAGGAAAAAGACAAGAGATATCACTCACTTAAGAAAATACTGTAAACCACTCCTCCTATTTTCCAAAAACTTCGGTCGAAACTTCGATATAACACTTTTCCTCGGCAACTCTGGTATTGTACCCGCCGAATTAGGGAATGTGCGAAGAAGTTTCGTTCGTAAATCTGCAAATTCGCTGTAGCGTTTGCGGATTATGATTGGAGTTCCCTATTTCCATAACTCCATTAGCATTGATCACACTACCCATTTGCGTTATTCTGCAATAAGCTCGGAGTGGAACATGAATGATATCGAGATAAGAAAAGGAGAGAGAAAGAGGAAGCACACAAACCTCCAAAGTATCAACCTTCACATTCCAAACCACAAATGCGCCCATGCCCCCTCCTATCCCCAGTCCCTTCCCCGCAATCCCTCCTATCCCACCAATTCCACTCCCATTCACAACGACATAATCTTCAATTACTACACTTCTCGCCCAGCAAGCTTCATTCTTCCCCCTTCCATTTATATTTGCATCATCTTCCTCTCCATCTGCAGTATTATCCTGCAGAGTGATCCCGCTTGGATGAATCGAATCTACTGAGATGTGGGAAATCGAGCGTGTGTGCGATTGTTGCCAGTAAGGAGGGGAGATTGTCGAACTAGGTGAGGTAATAGTTGGAGAGGTTATGGGAGATTCGTTGGCATCTGGGTCTGAGTTGTGTGCGGCTGGAGGAGACGTGTCGGTGATGATTTGATTCGAGGGTTTAGAGGAGGTTGGTGAGGTATTAGAATTAGAATTAGGATTAGGATTATTTAATGCATTGCCATTGCTAGAATGAGGAGGAGTAATGGACTCCATCCATCAATATCGAAATGGCTGGGCCACTATGTGCGTTCCCGCTTTACTTATGCTTGTGTCACTGTGATGATATATCTAGTGTAATAATTTGTATGTATGGTAGAAGCAAAAGATATAATAATACGAGTGGCAGTGGCCAAAAAATGATGTTGACTTTGAGAATTAGTTCATTAGTTCAAAAAATAGCTAAGCTACACTAGAAGTTTCCTGGGCCGACCCGACCAGACCACTGTTCTTTAGTGAGAGGAGCCGAGAGATGATTATTTTGCACGGCTGGATCCTTGTTTCCCCAAGCCCAAGCCCAACGCAACTTTAAAAACAAGAGGCAACGAAGTAAGAGAAGAAAGTTTCTCGCCGCTTTGTCCTTTGAGAGACTTGGTGAGACAAGGCAGGACAGGACAGGACAGTCTACAAAGTACCCGCATTCTCGATATGTTGAATTGTGGCGATGCTAATGGTGGAAAGATCATTATCATGTTATCAGTATTAGATGAGTAAGGTAGATGGAGGAGGGGAGGCTCGGAGGTAATGCCCAGGCCAGGATACTCGATTTATAATTCTTCAGATACGATTTATTTTTATCCATAAATACGATGAATACGATATACACGAATGACACAAACACATAACTTATGCATTATGATAGCAATAATAATGATATCAAAATAAAAATAAAAAATAAAAGATAATAACGATAAAACAGGAAGAAGAAAATCCACCCGAGACATCTGACCGAAGCGTCCGTTACTTTGTTGGATCAAACCGTCAGTCAGTCCACCTTTCAACATACATCACATCACAGAGGTAGCATAACACCAGATAGACCGTCTGGTCTGACAGATGCTGCACGGAGGACCTAGATAGAGTTCCAAGTGAGGAGAAACTTGAGGTATGAAATTAGTGTCAGTGTGGAGCCGCTCTGAGCGATTTGATATCAAAGGTTACTCCGAAGTACGACTATACGAGTCGGTACTAGGGATCCATTCTGGAGACGCTCGAGAGACGTTACGGGCAAAGAAAGATGCAGGACAAGGATGTGATGCGTACAACATAATGATCAACTGGATACGCGTAGCGTACTGTAGCGGAATTTCGGGATAAAGGATAGAAAGGGTGGCTGGAGGAAGTCTGATGAGAATCATGAGAATCATGAGAATCATGAGATGGAGTGAGTAAAGGAGAACGACTGGTTGAAGAGTACTAGGTACCTACGCAGAGGAAGAAGAAAGTAAGTATTTTCACGGAGGCGGGGAGAGAACGAATTCAACGGATCATCCGTTTTGTGTCATATATATATATATATATATTGAATGGAGATTGACGAATGAATGGATGTATTATCTACCATATCTACCTAGTGGTATCCCACTTATATACACATGGATGAAGATCAACGGATAGCTGGGCAGATGGTCATATGATACATCTAGATCTAAGTCGAGGTAGAGGTAGAGGTAGAAGTAGCGGAAGTAGGATGTGTATGTATATCGGTACTCAGTCGAAAGATAAATCAGTATCTACCGATTTTGAAGGAAGAATATAAATAGATGAAGAAAGCGCTCGCCATCAGCAGTATATATCATGAAGAATGGGATGGTGGGAAGAGGAAGAAGTGATGAGAATCCAACGAGATGTGATCAAGAGAGGCGAATAGGTCGTTTCAATATCTATCTACCTAACATCTCGTTCATGCACAATTTCATTCTTTTAGTCTAGTCAATACGAAGAGTACACACAGAAATACATACATACATATATACATACCTACATACCTACACACATACAAACATTACCTAGCATATCTATTCTCTATTTCTCTCCATCATCAAATACCAAGTGGTGTATGTGTGTGTATGTGTGTGTATGTGTGTGTGAAGTGAAGTACGATGTAGTATTTTACCTAGCAACTACTTAATCCTTCCATCACCAAATTTCAATCCTTTAACATAGTAACATGGAACCTGGAAACTTTCGGAAAGAAAAGTTGTGCATCCATCGATTCTTCACTAGCTGGGGAGGTAACTATCGGAACTAAACTCCATCGGGCTACCTGCATCATCCATACCGCTGATAAAGGGACGCTAACGAAGACATGTCTCGATGGCCAAAAGAATAATTATGATGAGCTAGGTAGCATCTCATAGCATTTCATAGCATTCCTTAAATTCTCCTTAAATCTCCTTAAATCTCCTAGCATTTTATCCAATTTCATGCACCTCATAGGTTCAAATTCATGAAACTAACCTAAATCAAGCTTAATCCGGATTACGGGGTATCCCAGACTAGCTCAATCTTGGTGCAGATGGAGGCGCTTTTGGATGAGTTGGGGGAAGGGAAAGGGCTCACCAGATGCAGATGAACACTCGGCCAATTTGGATATGGAATTGAATTGAATTGAATTGAACTTATCTTATTAAACATTGATCCTCCCCTCTTTCTCCTCCGTCTCCATTTCTATCTCCATCTTCCATCTATCGATAGTACTCCGTTTTAACTTGATCTTGATTATATCCTCCTCTCGAAATCACGTTCGCTTTTTGCTTTCATAACATTTGAATATCAAGACTTCATTCGTTCAATCCTCTTCTCTCAATAACACACACACACATACACACACATACACACACACACACACACACACACACACACACACATATCATACCGGACAACCCATTTTCTGCAAGGTAAGTAAACATTCATTGATTCCTCGTTACATTCCAATCTAGCAAACGAAAACACTCCCGCCACCACTTTTAAACTTGAGCAACATGTCATTTTTGGGAAAAAGATCTTGAAAGATGGAAAACTGACCTTGGATGTTCATTGATAGTTTATTCGAAAATATAATTGTCAAACGCGAAAAGCTTCTACTTCGATATCATCTTTCTACCTCAACTTGACTCACCATCACAGAATTCAAAATGCGTTTCTCTACAACAACTTTCGTTACTACAGCTCTTGTTAGCTTTGCCACGGCTCAATATACCATTGATCCAGAAAGTGTACCATTGGCGACTCGTAGTAAGTTTTCCTCTACGTTACCAGCTCTGTGACCTAGAAAAATACTAATTCTCCACTCTTAGAGAGCTGGTGTCAATCACAAACACAAACATGTCCATCGCTTTGCTTGCAAAACGGTGCCGGTAGCTCCACCACTACTACCAACACTTGTGATCCCGTAAGTATATACATTCCCACCACTATCCTGCCCTTCCCCAACCTCAAAAGTCAATCCGACTAACTCACAATCAGGATACTCTCGACTATGCATGCATTTGCGGCAATGGTCTCTCGCCAAACGCATCCGAATACTCCTTGACCCTCCCATACTTCATCTGTACTCAATACGCCACCAATTGCGTCAATGCATGCAACGGAGATAACACCTGTCAAGCAGCATGTCGAGATGACAATCCATGCGGAGCCCAAAACCCAACCCGTATCAATACTACCTCTAGTACCACTCAAAGCGCAACTGGTACATCGGGAGCTTCCAGCACAAGTGGCGTTGCATACACAGGATTGGGTGGATCATCTTCAACATCTACTCCTAAGAGTGGTGCTCAGATGACTGTGGACTTTGGAAAATCATATGGTTTGGCGGTTGTTTTCACAGGTCTCTTTGCGGGGTTTGCTTTGGTAATGTAAATTGACCGCTTCTTTGATGGAGGGAGATGGTGTTGGCGAAGTGGGTTACTCGGTCAATTTGTTGCGTTTGTGAGATATGGCTTCATATCATATCATCTCATATCGTATGATATTTGATATTGATATCGATGATCACTGTTGCACAACGAAACACTCTCGAATTCGGTACCCCGGTGTTTTTGAAACTTTAGCGATCATTAAGTGTGCGTTTTGTTTTCGGCTTCCTCCTTTGTCCTGTTTTGAGGATTTTGAGCGTCGAGTTGGTTTCTGCTTCTTGCACATACATATTACAATGTCTGACATCCTGGATACAAACATGGATGAGCTTAATGGAGAGAGCTTTAGCTAGATTACTTGTTTAAGTATATAGCTAAGTTCGGGATGGAATAATATGGTAATGAAGGGGATTGTTGAAAAGCGTTGTCGGAACAGTCTAGATCTTTTAGATTTAGATAAACAAGAGCTATACTTCTGGCTACGAAATAGAAGCAAAACTTTTTAATCATGCCTACTGTTCCATGACTCGATGTGACATTGTTGAGATGTATCGGTAATCTTGATGCAATATATTTCGACTTAATTTGAAACTGTGCAGTGTAGGTAGTGTAGTGTAATGTAGATGGAATGAGTATGTTTTGTTATGTTATCCTTGAATGAATGTTGTGTACTTTGTACTGTGTAGATGAAATGAGAGAGAAAAAAGAAAGATATGCATGAGATTTGTTATCTCTTATTTGCTATTCGCGATAGTGTACCGGTATTTCATTAATGGTAGTAGTTCTCTGAATGGTTGAATCTGGGAATTGAAAGATGTGATTGGCTAGACTTGGGCTCGCAGGTCGACCTACTAGGAAGACTTATCGTAGACTAGATTAGACGATAAAAAAGAAGATGGGAAACGGCGGTCGATCGGGTCGGTAGGTACTTTTGACCCGTGCCCCTATTTTTTGGTTGGAATGGAGGAATGCCGAGTAGGTGAATGGGTGGGTGAGTGGGTGGCTCGGGTGGGTATGGATTGGTGGTGTGGTTTGGTGAGTGGGTGGGTGGTGAGTGGGTGGATAGATGGATGGATAGCGGTAGGTGCTAGGTGCTAGGTAGATGAATGCATTGATTGATTGACATGTGAAAGAAGGGAAGAGAGAGAGAGAGAGAGAGAGAGAGAGAGAGAGAGAGAGAGAGAGAGAGAAAGAAATAATTGTATGATAGAGTGATGCGTAGATACCGGTAGTAGTTAAGGAGAAAGGGATTTTAGTTATATTCTGGTAGTTGGGAGTTGGATTTTATGGGATGATATGGGATGGGATGGTTGGTAGATGTATATATAATAGGTAGCTGAGTAGGTAGATAGGTGTTATATATATTTATATGATTCTCACTTGGACTCGGGAGTGTGAAGAATGGCTTCGTAAGTGTTATACGTATGTGTATGTGTATGTGTGTATATATGAATCGATTATCGACTAAGCAAAAATCACTTGAGAGATGAATGCTCTTCGTTCTGTGTACTATGTATGTATGTAGGTGTTGTATCTAACTAATATGGAGATGAATGGAGTAGAATTCCTGTACTGTCTGTCTGTATCTTTACCGCTTGATAGAATCAAGATATCTTACGTTCGTCTTAAGCGATTGATTTGCGAAGGGTCAGAAAGGGTCAGAAAGGGTCAGATAGAAGGGGAGAAGAAGGAAAAAGAAGAAGGAAAAGAGCTGACGTGGAAGTCATTTGTAGCCCTGGTCAATTGATCTTATATTATGGAGTAGAGAAATCTTCTAGAAGAGCTTCCAATTGGAGAGTAACCATCTATTACTTGGTACTGCTACCGTCTACTATCACAATTAGCCTCGAGCCCCTGACCCGACAACTTTAAAATTTTGATGTGGTAGATCTGTTTGGTTAGCCTCTTTTATTTTATTCTTCCACCGTTCCCCCCCCCCTAGTAATAATCATAATAGCTAGCTAGCTTCCCAACTTTTTGGCTTGTGAAGATTTGATTGATTTGATTTGATTTGATTTAATTTTGTTTCTGGAAGTTTTCGACTTTTCCTACTTTTCTTGATCCATCCCTCTTTATTTTTGGATTTGATCTCGTTTTCACTTCGCGGAGTACTTACTTTACTTCACTCGAGACATCATTCACACGACAAACGAGAGAAGATTGATGATGTGCAATTGACAACATCACACATTACACATTCACATTACACCATTTACGCATAGCATCGGCCTCCTCCGCAGCTCATTCATTCAGCCTGATATCCAATCCCCATCTCATCTCGTCTCGTCTCGTCGGGTCTCATTTCACCACTCTAACCCGCTAAAACCCCACGTCCATAAATACTCAACCTCACCCCAAGGTCGCGAGGGTCGGAAGCGCATTCCACCCACCTCGATTGAAAATTCGCGAAAAGATTGATAAGTTGCTGGCGGTGAACACGGCGTCGGCAATTGGTTATCGAGAGGAAGACGGGGAATTGCCTTTGCCGGTTACGACGCCCAAGACGCCCAAGGAGAGGGGAATGGGGCTGGGTATGGCGCCAAATAAGAGTGAGTGGTTTTTTTTTTTTGGTCTGATTCTTCTGCTTTTGAGTTTCTTTTCCTGTTGGATTTGGGATTTGGGTTGTGAGGCTTGAGAATGAGGGAGAGGTAATGGGAGAGCAGAGAAGAGGAGTAGAGAATACATTATGGCATGGCATGGCATTGAATGGAATTTCTCCACAGATTGAGCTCCCACACCCAAAATCGTCAATATTGGAAACGCAAGAACACAAGCTAACACAAATGCACCAAAATAGAAGAAGCAGCGCATGAATGCGTGTCGGAAGAAGCACTCGTGCATTTGAAATCGTATAAATATTCGAGTGTGGATAAGAGTTTGATTTCGAATTATATCTTGAAGCATTACGTAGGTGGCCTTTCCTTTTATTATCATTCTTGGGACTTGGAGAAGGATTCTCGCACGCTCCTTGAACAGATCCATTGTATGGTGTTTCTGAAGTGCGGAAGAATTTTATACGGTCGGAGCGCTGTGAGGATGGGAGTTTAGAAGTTGCTAGGTGGTCCCGGAAGGCAGTGAAAAGCTATCAGGAAGAATGAGAGAATTGCTATTGAAGCTTTCCTCTATTCTCATGCATCATTCAGCAAATAATTATTCCGGATTATCTCGAGCGCAGCGAGCAATGGGGGTTTGGGGGCTTGCCCCCATAAACAAGAAAGAAGAAATAGACTAACAGTTTTCAAATATAGTGGAATGGCTTCGTCGAATTATTACCATTATGGTTGGCACCAAATATGGTTACATTATTGGGATTCTTTTTCATTTTGAGTAATGTTATCTGTTTGGAGATTTTCATGCCGGATTTGGTGGGACCTGTAAGTTTTCTATTTCTACGTCTACTATTGTGTGATTTCTTTCTGCATATTTTGAACTCTACCTATCCATTCATTTGTAAAGCTGCAGAGCAAATCACAGAAACTAATTAAGTTTATAGGGACCATCATGGTTGTATTACAGTTTTGCATTCGGATTATGGATGTATTCAACAATGGATAATGTAGATGGAAAACAAGCTCGAAGAACAGGAACATCTAGCGGACTCGGTGAACTATTCGACCACGGAATCGATTCTCTGAATTGTACACTTGCATCTCTATGCGAAACGGCTGCTATGGGTCTAGGTACATCCAGAGCTGGAATCTTTACCGCATTGATTCCTTGTTTACCCATGTTCTTTTCAACCTGGGAAACGTACCATACACATACATTGTACTTGGGAATTTTCAATGGACCAACTGAGGGATTGATCTTGGCTTGCACGATTATGATCATGAGTGGTTATTATGGACCAGAGATTTGGACACATCGAATTACGGATTTAGTCGGTCACCATTATTTCCTCGGATATCATGAATTTTTCGGTTCATACTCCGTTAGAGATTTATGGGTTCCAATCCTCGTTGTCTCATTATTTGGTATTCATGTTCCTTTCTGCGTTATTAACGTAATTAAAGCCAGAAGAAGAGACAACTTGCCGGTTTTACCAGTTTTCCTCGAATGGACTCCTATGGCGGTTTTCACTTTCAGTATCGGAGCTTGGCTTTTCTCTCCATATTCAACACTCATGGAAGAAAATCGTTTGGTGCTTTTCTGTCTTACCATGAGTTTTGTCTTTGGAAGGATGACGACAAAGATCATTCTAGCACATCTCACAAGACAATCATTTCCTTACTGGACAGTTATGCTTACACCACTTGTTGGTGGTGCTATTCTTGGTAATCTACCTCGATTTGGTTTACCAGCTGTCAGCGTAGGAGTAGAATTGTGGTATTTAAGAGCATACTTTGTTTTTGCTCTAGTGGTTTACTTCAGATGGGCTTGGTTGGTTGTTACGAGTATTTGTGATTACTTGGGAATCAACTGTTTGACAATTCCGGAACAGAAGTTGGAGGAGATTTATAGAAATCAAGAAATGGAGAAGAGGTTAGAGAAGAGAGGATTGGAGGTTAATGGAAAGAGAACCCCAAGTGGAAGTGGAGCGAAGAGTCCAATTGGAGTACCAAATGGAAAGAGAGCTGATTAGAGGAGTTGAGATGTTGAGGTGTATAGAGTACATTCTTGAAGTATGTGGGCTTGTGGGGTTGGAGAAGCCATTGGAATGATAGAAATCGGGTTAGATCGTATGTATTTCGTGGGTATAGCTAGGGAAACGTAGAGATTTGATTCACTCGTGGGTATGGTCGGTACAGGTAGATAATGGATGGATGGATGGGTGATGATGAGTAACGAATGGGTCTCTCGGACTTGACTTGAGGTCAAACAAAAAAAGGAATGAGTTCATGTATGGTTGGGATGCATATAGATATTTTAATACCGAAAATTCTGAAGGGAGAGGAGAGATTATAGGGTCGATGGAGGAAGAGAGAGGTTATGTTGTTAAGCATTGCATGGCGTTGCGAACCTTTTAAGGGTGAAGCGAGAGTAACTTGATTGAAATCCTAGTTGCATGTTGCTGGATTTTTCTTTGATGCGATTGGATTGGATGGGATTGGATTTGAAGTAGATGAGTGATTGAATGAACAAGAAGTTGAGGAAGGGAGAAAGGGAGGAAGCGAGGGATTAGTAATTCCGTACTTACTCCATACAATTTGTTAATAATACTTCTTTGCTGCAAATTTTTATTTGATTTGATCTGATTTGATTTGATTTGATTTGGTTATAGATGGATGTGTGTGTGTGTGTGTGTGTGTGTTGTGTGCGTGTGTGATGGTTTTGGTTTTGGTTTTTTTTATGGTGGTCGTAAGATTGGTTGGTTACTGGAGGATAGACTGGAGGATAGACTGGAGGTGAGGAATAGAATTTGGGTCTGCGATGTTGGGGGAGTATGGATGTTGAATGTTGGGTTTGGATTTGGGTTTGAGAGAAGGAGAAGGTGGTAGGTGGGTTTGGGGGAAGGAGAAGGAGAAGGTGGAAGGTGAACAATGTGGATAGTGCATAGTGTAGGTATTCATATTGCATCGCTTGTGAGAAATTCTCTAAGCAGTTTGTTGTTTGGATGGATGGATGGGTCGAGCAACTTCAACAAAATTATGAGGTTCCAAGCTCGGCCTCTGTGTCTACTGTGGAGTTTGAGGAGGACCTGTGTTTTCTGAAAGATGGCTGTGGGGTTATATAAGATTGTTGGTTATATAAGATTGTTTGGGTTTGGGTTTCAGTGATATGTGGTATGTGGTATGTGGTATGGATGCGTGCGGTCGAATTCGTGATTCGGCTTGTGTTTGAGGGGGGGCTTTGCATGGGTGACTTTTTAGCTTGCTGTGTTTTGTGTGTATGCTATTATCGGGTTGGGTGAGGAGTAGGATGTATACTTGTATGTAAGATCTTACTATGGTTGGTGAGCTTCAGTTTGATCTGTTTCTCTCATCATCCAGTAATAGTAACTGAAGACTGCGACGCCTCACTCTGAATGACTCTCCGTCTTCTGCATGTTAGCATGCGACCAATGCGGAAATCCTCTAGACTTTATACAGATTTAGTACACGTCTTGTATTTATCGTCGAGCGATATTGTTACTCAACTGTGAAATGGGGTTTGTACTGGAGTTTCCTCCGCTTCCTCGTCGTGGATATAGCGTAAAGCGAATCGAAAATGTAAGATCACCACATCGTAGATTTCTAGGATATCCTGCGAGGATAACTTAAAAATATCGTGAGTCCAAGTCTACTTTCCCTAGGAGCCATTCTTCAGGGCGTCCTTGGGCGGTTGGAATATAAATCCGTCAAGTTTTGTCGAGAATGGGAGATCCTTCCTGAGCTTAAGGAGGCTTATCTTGGCTCAGAGATTGGTTCAAGGAAGAAGTGAATGCTTTACGATTGCATTTATTAGGTTCCAGTTTCAACATCTATAATTTGCGCATCTTCTTTGTGAAAATCGAGCTTCTGAGGAATAAGATAACTATAAACTCCTTTCACCAGCCAATGATTGTATTTGAGAATAAGATTTGGATGAGCGCAAGGGATCATGAGATTCTCTAGCGAGCAATTTTTCCGGACAGAGAAGTTGAAATCTGGATTGGAAGCAGAGGGTATTTTTTTTATCTTTCTTATTTTCTGGGAGGAGTAGTGAGGCCAAATGGTTTATATCTCTTGAACGTGTAAGCGAGGAGGCGATTGGAAAAGTAAAAGATTGATGTATGTAGCTCAGGAAGCCACCAGGCTCAGTTGAGTATGGGAATGGGGGAGTAAAAGCTATTGATGTCTGAAATCAAGTCCAGCTGGAAGGACTGAGGCTTTTGGACCTGGCGTGAGAAGATGAGTTTATGTAACTTTAAAGGTATAATGGCAGTGATATACGAGTAATTATGGGTGGGCTGACAACGTATATAGGAGCTCCAGTGACAGCGTTTGGTATTATGACAGAAGTGACGACAAACATAACATATTTGTGAACTCCATGAGACATGCCAAAGATCAAACCATTGAAGCTCAGTCATATTAAACAAAATTCTCTCATTCCTTCGTTAAGATTGTATCACCCTTGGTCTTCTCTACAAGAAGGCATACTTTAAAAATGAACCGCTTGAAATCATAAAGTGTCAGTATTTATACACGTAGAATATCTAGCATAAGCTAGGGTACAAGAAACAGTTGCCCTATGTTCTTCTAGATATGCACAAGATCGGCAATGCCATGTTCAACACCATTCTTGGAGGGAGTATAGAGCCTGGTAAAAATTCATTTGTAGTATAAATAAGCATTCAGGAATCTCGAATTCTCACAAAATAGGTGTGGTACTGCAGCGAGAAGTAGGCATAAGGCTTTTATGACATCCCAATGTGAGAGAAAATAATGGCACAAGCTCGGAGCTCAAAGATATGTTTTGGGGCTAGAGAATGGCAAAAGTTGTTATTAACGGTCTTCATTGGTGCTGCGTATGTAGCTTAGCACGGTGATAATGACCTTCCGACAACGAGAATAGGGCTGGAACCGTGACCAGACGATCATAGAAAACGTTTAAATATTTTTGTGCACTCACTGACTCTAGAGTACACAACCATCTCCTTCTTCATCACAGAACTCTCAGTCCAAGATTAGTATACTGATATCCATCTCCTTTCAATTCGTTCTTTTATACTCAGACCCAAAAAATTATACTACCAACCCCCACCCTCTCCTCTCCCCTTTTCTTGCGCGATTATCACTGTAAAGCGCCACGAGCTACTGAGTCACATTCCCTTTCAACTTCTGGCTGTGAGTAAATTATCATCCACAGTATGTATTGACTGTTTTACCTCACCTCCAAAGAAACAAAGCATAAAAAATCGGAGCGAGGGTCCCAGGCGCCAAGGGATCCAAGGATGATGGGGTTCTCAGAACGGGATTATCTGTTCAATATACATAATGCAACGGGGCAGGAGCAAGTACAAATTGAAGGGATGGAGAAGCTATTCATGAGGTGAATACTCTTAAAAATGAATGAAAAAATAATAACAAACCCTGTGACAGCGGCAAGAAGTACAATGGCAACAATCAAAGGTATATATATTCCATTCGTGAAGAAGACCCTCATAGCAGCAATAACTATGAGAGATATCAATGCAGTAAGCCCGAAAGTAGTCCTATAAATCATATCCGTTGAAGCTTTCAACCGTAACAGTTCAAATACCGTAAGTAGGTAAGTAGATATGACCAAATCTACCCACCACCTGACAGAAGCTTGTCAATAACAATTGCGTATCTAAAGATTCATCTACCTAAAGAAAAAAGTTTATATACCTCGACGATAGAAAGCTCTAATTAATGACCATGGAGTACGGAATGGTAAATCTTACTATCATCCCATTTTGATGTTTACTCTCTCTGTCTCTTCATACCCTTCGAATACCACGCATTTTTCGTCTACGTATTCTTCGTATCTTTCCCACAGGACTACCCGTCATATAAATATCTCTCTTCTCTTGAAAACATGTACAAACAATCTCCAAGTGGCACTTAAGAAAGAGAACGATGTGGCACTTCTGGCCACGGGCCAATGAAAGTTTTGCTTCGTTGATGAGATGGAGATATAATGTGAAGTCTAGGTTGAGAGGATCAAAACAACAGTGTTCTCATTTCTTGAAGGTTGTATGGAATCTAGAGGTCATAAGAACGGCAGTAACAATGACGAAAATGATAATCAATACCGAAATGATAGGAGCGGAGCGATGGGTCATCGAGAAACCGACAACCAATTCTCTTAGCCGATAATATTAACTTCCATCCACCCCGTTGCCTCCCAAAATCCTATGAAGATTCCTCTCTACACGACTTATCCGCTAATCCCTTTACAATACCCCTTTCAAGCTACAATCAATCGATACTCTCAATCCCAGCCCCATACAGTCTCGCTAAATCTATACGACATACCCATTCCGAGAAAAAAGAAAACTAAAAAAGACAGGAACGCAGTGAGTCTTTTATACTCCTCTCCATGAAATTTTCATTCAATATCCACCAATCACCATACAGCAGAAAGATATACTACGACAAGAGGGTATAATACACAAATTCTTCAATTCCGAAGCCGAAATGATCAGGATATCATCAATCACTCCATTTCACCCGTCCAGCTCATACAAAAATCCCACAGTAGAAAGTATATAACAAACCTCCCAGTCCATCAATCCTGCTAATTCCACCCCACCCACTCCTCCCAAGTTCCCCAATTCACTACAAACAAAACACCCCCCCTTTCTCTCCTCCCCCTACCTTCCTCGCCATAAAAAGAGCAAGAAACACCATGTCACACTTGATGCTGTATCTCCGATATCATCTCTCCCAACCCAATACTTTCTCCCTTTTTCTAGCTCCGAGAGAATATTTCTCATACTGATCAATAATTGAATGTGTCGTAACAACGCCAGTGAAAGGAACAGGAATTGTAATTCGTGAACAATCATCACAGCAGCCACAACAAACACAATACTAAAGAAATGCAAGTACTACTGCCATTTTAGCAACCACCGTCACCATTTCCATTTCCATTTCCAAGCCCATCCACTCAAAACTTCAACCCTCAATCCCATCCCCAATCCCATCCCCAATCCCATCCCCAATCCCATCACCAATCCCATCCCCCAATCCCATCCCCCCAAAGAATCACCCACTCCATCTTCCCATTACATTTCTATAGATTCTCAACAGTCTTACCCATTCACAAATCAATTTCAATTCATCAAATTCTTACTGACAGTTCTTAAATAGTACCATTTGCACTAGCAAAAGCACTAGCATCCCTCAATGGTCTAGAATAAAGAGGGAATTGAGAAGCTATCTCCATTCTTACCTCTTTTCAATGAATTGGCATTATACTCCACTCCACTCCACTCCACTCCATTCACTAAAACAAGACAAAAGTAATCAGAATCGGCATCCATGAACTGCACTACACAAAAACACAAACGTCTATAAAATCATCGATTGTATTGCTCATCAACCTTATCTCCATCATATCACATTGCATCCCCTGGCCCAACAACCACCCAAGAAACTTTTTAGCCTACTACTCATATGTACTGTACAAAGGTTTTCTCTTTACCCTATGGTTTTTCGACACCATTACAAAAACATCCCTCCCACCATCCTCCGAAACCTATTCTAACCAAAATCTCTCATTCAAGGAAGCTCGCTTATAAGTCTTCACTCCTGTCTTGTAC